ACATACTGTGTAGATTCATTGCAAGGCATGGGATGCCACGAACTGTCCTGAGCGATAACCGCTCCAATTTCAAATTAACTAGTGAGGTTCTTGAAGAATCAATGCTGTCAGTCGTCCGGAATCTAACAGTTATGAATTACTGCAGTCAGAATGGAATTTACTGGAGATTTATAACTACAATGTTGCGTTGTCGCGACGAACGCGATGAGAAAATGAATGGATGGTGATTCTTGGCTTTTTTCGGTGTTGCGATGGAAGACGAAGGGAATGTGGTTTCCTTTCAAAAAACTTCAGACAGAAAATGATTTTGTGATAATCATTTTTTTTTGCTGTGAATATGTGTTGTGCGTTCGCATATCAGCTGACGGGTCTCCGTCAGCGGAGTTTGAGTTTTTGTAAACTCTCGCTAATGGATTGCCGTTAGCGAGGCTATGTAAGCCAACGGCTCCTAAACGCCGGATTCGTTCTTGGACGGGTTCGTCTTTGGTTTGTTGTTTTGGGTCCTTCGGTTGGCTGCTTGGGTTTTGGTTTGCTGCTGGAGCTTTTTGATTTCGCTATCGAGGCCAGTTGACGTGGACGACTGGAGTCTGCCTCCATCACGCGAACCTACACTGCTTCAAGCCAAACAGTTTCAATTGTTGGTCCAGATTAGTCAATCGGCACAACACGCCCTGGCAAGGAGGCGTTTTCGAAAGGTTAATTGGAATCACCAAAACTGCCTTTAGGCGCGCAATGGGAAGGCGCTTCTTGAGCGAAGAAAGGTTGGTTACCTTCATCGCTGAAATCGAAGCGATTGCCAATTTCAGGCCACTCACTAAAGTAAAGAAAGGTCCAGTGGAAGTTTTGCGTCCAATTGACTTTATTAATCCTTTGGCAAGAATTGGAAATCCTTTAGAAGAAACTGGAGAAGATGAGGATTATCAGATAAACATCAGACTGCCGACGAAAGAGGGACTAATGGATGGTTAGGAACGAACGAAAAAGTATTTAAATAAATATACGGAATATTGGCAACAAAATTATCTTCTTGGATTGAGAGAAAGGTGGGGATCAAAACATCACCAAAAACGAGATTTCACGAAAGGGGAACCAAGGTTGAAAGAATTAATTCTTATCGACGACGACAAACCAAGAGAAACTGTCGAGATTGCTAAATCTCGATTTGCAACAAATTTTATAAGATTTGTAATTCCTTAGCTGTCTTCTTTTTTGATAAACATCTGGATGTTTACATTTTTTTATGTTTCAAGTCCTTTCGCGCGGCACTGTCCTCCTTCTGCATTTTCCTCTTGAAAAGGGAAGCTGCTGAATTAACAACGTCCGGATGTTCCGACAACGCATA